ACGGACGGTGGAGGGCCGGCAGGAGAAGGGACAGGTGGAGCGAGGCCGAGGAGGAACGGGGTGAAGGCTGATGGGGATGGGTGGTGGAGGTCCGGAGCGGGACAACGGGATGACGGAGGGACGCTAGAAGGGACAGACGACGGAGGGGCCGAAGGGGAGCGGCGTGAAGGGGTGACGCGGACGACAGACGACGGAGGGGCCGAAGGGGAGCGGCGTGAAGGGGTGACGCGGACAGATGGCGGAGGGAGCTGAGGAAGGGGCGGACGGTGGAGGGCCAAGGGGTGCTGGGGTGAAGGGGGTGGGGGGGGAAGGACGGAGAGCTGCAGGGAAGGAGGAAGAAGGGACGACGGGGATGGGTGATGGAGGGACAGCGGAGGAGGTTACAGAGGACGGAGGGCTGCGGAGGCGCTGGCCGAAGGGACGATGAGGATGGACACCAAGAGGAAAGGACGGACAGAGGACGGAGGGCTGCGGAGGCGCTGGCCGAAGGGACGATGGAGGGACAGCCGAGAAGGCGCAGGCGAAGGGGAGCTGGCTGAAGGGCTGACGGGGATGGACACCAAGAGGACGGGATCACCGCTGGAGGGCTGAAGGGGAACGGGACGAGGTGACACCAGGGACGGCCGAGGGAGGGAGGCGCCGGGCTCTAACCGGTGAAATCCTCGTGGCACTCGCAGGTGTAGCCGCCCTCGCGGCTCCGGCACCGCCCGTTGCTGCCGCAGGGGCTGGAGTAACAGAGGTCGATCTCCGTCTCGCAGTAGTCGCCGGTGAAGCCGGGCGGGCAGCGGCAGCGCAGGCCGGTGACGGGATGGATGGGGCGGAAGAGGATGGTGTCGGAAGCGAGGAAGGGCGCCGAGCTGTCGAATTGGAGGACGGAGACGCAGCGCATGTAGTTCTCGCAGGGCTCGCGCAGGCAGATGTTGTCGTCGAAGGGCAGGACCCGCTGGGCCGAGATGGCGGCCAGCAGCGAGCGGTTGAGGTAGAGCCGCTCCTGCAGCTCCTCGGAGGAGAAGAAGCGGGCGCCGTGCCCCGAGGCGGGCAGCAGCACCGAGAGGCTGACGTTGAGGATACGGGCGGTCCCCACGTCCGTGTCCGTTTGGATGTTGAAGAGGACGACGCGGTGGCGGGGGGCGGCCAGGACGGCGGCCACCCCCTCCAGGAAGCGGCTGAGCAGGGGGGAGAGGAATCGCTCCTGGGACATGTCGGCCAAGCGCAGGGTGATGCTGTTGCTCAGCATCTCGTCCGTGATCACCGTCACCCGCAGCGTGCACTGGGCCGTCGCGCTGTGGACCCCGTCTGCGGTGGTGGTGGGGGGGGGGTGTCAGTGACAGCGCGGGATGGGGACGGTGGTGGTGATGGGGCACCCATCCCGCCCGGCCACCGTTGAGATGGGGCCGGTGGGGTGGGGATGGTGCCGGCTATGGGGCCGGCGCTGGTTATGGGGTGCCGAGTCCTGCTCAGCTATCGCGGGATGGGGCCGGCGTTGGCTGTGGGGCTGGCGCTGGTTACCGTCCCGCTCGGCCACGGCGGGATGGGGATGGCACTCGCCATAGGACCAGCACTGGTTATGGGGCGCTCATCCCACTCGGCC